TATATAAGTGGAATACGAGTATAAGATGTAAAATTATGGTCTATTTATACTAATAAAAAACTATTCAACATTGGAAATACGGAAATAATTATTCGGGTGCTCTAGCCTTTTCCTCAATCTCAATCTTTCTTTTTCGAGTTGAACTTATAATCTAATGACATCAATTAACTAAAATCCACGACTAATTGATGCAAAATCAATGCAAGGGTAAGTAAGTCATTTGTAATCCAAAAACAACTACAGTAACTACTGCAATTCCAATTTAGTTTAGTTCGATAATCCACAATAAATAACTACACAAAAATGCTCTATTTGATAATTCACAATAAATTAATTACAAATAAAATTTAATCAAAGATCATGTACAGAAATTAAAGGTTCATCACAATCCCAAGTATAAAATATATCCACTTATGGAACCACTCTCAATTGAATTACAATATTCCATGACTATTATTAAGAAAAAAATGAGAGAAATTATTAATCATTTGCTCCTAGTTGTCTTGTTCTTTCAAGACCATTTCTACTCTTTCGAATCCGAAAGATACATTACTACTTACAACAAGTATTACGCCATATATAAAGACATCAATCCCCAGCTTGTTTTGGATAATTTTTACTTTATGCGACATATTATTGTGTTTTTCGTTATTACAAAGAGCTCACTTAGATTGCTGGTTCGATTTTCTAAATTTTTACTTGACGAGAGATTATCATATATCACGAAATACCTCATACAACAACGACTTAATTTTTGTCTACCTTCTTTCGCGCGATGCCTCACCGTTTCAAGACATGCCATATCATGGTTGCTTGGTACCTATAGAGTTTTGGTTGCGTCCATATGCTATTTAATTTTATGTTGTGTAGCGAGTCAATTATTGACTTTATAAGGTGTGTCGGTATAAACTACGCATATATACTGCAAGTCTGACTTTTTCCTCTTAACTTTCTTTTAACACTCAATTTCCTCCTTATATTGCACATTGGAATATAAGTAGGCTCTAATTAATGGTTACCATTGTGACGAGCCTCCCTTTCACAAAACTCGTCATATTTTAGTCCAAATCGATACTTCAAATGCTTTAACAAAGGGGGCACTGCTTGAACTTAATAATTTTTTGTAATTTCAAAACACCATAACTCTTTTTATTATTGTTATTATTATTATTTTTTGTTAAAGGGGTGCATTTATATTGCTAATTGAATAATTGAAAGAGATACATCAAAAGGGATATTAGGATCCCTATCAAATCTGGAAATCGAACCAAAGAATGGAGGATGTTAATACTACAATCAAAATCATGTCTAGGAGAATTAATTCCTAGTATATTTGCCCAAAAAACTTCATTTGCAAACATCGGATGAACAACCCATATGGTCAACCCTTGAACTCTTTACTTTTATTGATTTGACTTTAGATTATAATTATAATTTCAAAAAATATTTTTTTCTGAAATTATTATACACGATTATTATTGTCAATTGGGTACAATATATTCCACGGCGAGTTAGCTTTTATTTATTTATAAATTCACTTTATTTCATAGGTTTGGTAAAGTTATTAGCGTTCAAATGCTAGGGATATTAAAATACCAAAAATATGTGCAAAGATAGATCTCCTCATTTACCCAAATTAAAATATTAGCTCGATTATGTTAACCTATGCGACAAAATGCTCTTTATGAAACTAAAAATTAAAGCCTAAAGAGTTCCTTAAGTCTTTAAAATACATTACCTAAAAGTTAATATACTAGTAAGATAATCTCCCCTTCCAGGAAAAATGCATTTAATTCGTTTTTGTGGTTGTCTGAAATTCCAAATATGCATTAAATACCATATATCACTGAGCTAATCAATTGATGTTATAACTTTGTATTCCATACCCTATTATGCTAGATCATTCTTTCTTCGGACAAATTTAAATAAATTTTGTCTGAAATTCACTTAAATATGCATAGATTCATAATTATATTAATCGTACATACCCTACATATAGAGTTAAGGATTTACTCAAAAACTTGTCAGATTATATGCTAAGATGATCGGCTTTTTTTCGAAGATTTTATGCATTTAGACAACTTTTGTCTGTAGTTGTATCAGATTCGTATAATTTTAATTTTAAAGGTTTATTAAGTCTTTATGTTATTTTGAGTAGATTTCACTCGACACTCGAATTTAAAGTTCTAAAAAGCACCTATCTACTTTTGAATAAGACAAAATATCTTCTTAATCATGAATAAACGATCAAAATGAGTTGGATATTATTGGAAAGGTCAACGGTAGGCAACTATTAGTATGACTTATAACAGCTCACAACTAAAAGAAAATTATCAAATAATGTTGTATAGTTAAAGAATTATTTCAACCTACTCATTTGATTTTTTTAGAAGTAATGACTCTCATTCATCTGTACACCTTTTAGTTAACATTTCTTATAATTTTATAAATCAAAATAATATGAATTTATGTCCATATCACATATGAACTACATACTTCACAACATTTTATTTTTATTTCTCTTACCAGTTATTGATGAACTTTCATATAATTTAACCACGGTATATAAAGATAACACGAAAAAAAGAAGAAGAAAATACCTTACACAAAATTGGCTAACTAAAGTAACTAATTTACTGAACGATATTTTATTTTTATGTTCACTCACGTTTATCGATTAACTATTTCATAGGAGTATTTCATATTGCAAGCCAACTAACCTTACATAGCAGTTCATAGCGTTAAGATTGTTCCACAATTTTTTTGATAAGATAATATTGTTACACAAATTTTATGGAATATATTTATTCTTCAAATTTTCTAAATTAAAAATTTAATATGTAAGTTCTTAATTTCTTTTTTTTGTTCGAAATAAAACCTTCACATTTTTAGAGCGTTAAACCAGAAAGTAATTATAATATTTAATGAAATAAATCTAGAAAATAATGCATTACACAAATAATAAATAGGTGTCCTTTTCTCACTTTGTAGTAAAATTATAAATGGAGCAGGCTTTGTCGTAAGTTTTATATGATAAAATTTAATCTGTTTCCTAAGTTAATTTAACATAAGCTACTGGATTATTCAAGTGCTTCGGATATTACCAACTCTTTGCCAACTAGTACAACAGAGTTGTTTTATGAGCATGGAGCTAAGCGCAGTTCTGTGAATCAAATCAAATGTAGAGAATAAGAACAGTTAAATAAAATGAATTAAAATGATTTAATTTAGTAAAACTAAAAAATACTTAGGAGTAGTACTCCCTCCGGTTCAAAATAAGTGATTTTTTGGCATTTTTCTTGTGGTCAAAATAAGTAATTTTTCTATATTTCAAGAATGAATTAATTATATTTTTCTTACATTGTCCTTGGAGTAAATAGTGTTGGAATATGTGTTAAGAGTGTTTATGTGAGATAGTAAAAATTAATATGATTAATTCCAATGCTAATTAATGCTAAAAATTAGATTTCTTAATCCGTGTGAAAACATTCAGAAAATCTCTTATTTTGGATAGGAAGGAGTAATATTTAGTGGAAAGATAAGAATAACCTAACCATAAAAGTAAACACAAGGCACTTGGCATTTCAAAAAAGGGAAATAAAGAAACAAAATGCCACGCTTCTCAAACTTCGATTGGCGGACTCGATATTCCAAATTAAAGCAAATCCAATAACCCACGATAATTCCGACCCCAATCTCTCAGCGGGATTCTCCCCTACTTTTATTTTCCAACAACGAAAGCCCTCCATAAATTCAACGCTTTAAATTTACACCATTTATCTCCCCAAAACAAAAAAAAAAAAAAAAAAAAAGAGCCCTGCTCTTTATTTTCTAATTTCTACTAAAAAAAGTTCACTCATTTCCTTAGGGTTTCACAAGATCGTTTTCCTCTTCTCTTTGTGCAATACGCGGAGCAATTGATTTTGTTTCTTTCTGATAAACGCTATTTCTAGGGTTTGATGGTGTGAAGAGTTATTGTAAGTTTAAATCTGTATTGATTTTTCTAGGAGATCTTGAAGAAAAAGCGATGTCGGCTTCAAATAAAGAGCTAGAAGAACAACTTGCGGAAGCTGGGAATAAGCTTCTTCAGCCTCCTTCTTC